CAATTTTATTATACCATTAATTTGTTCCAGATTACGATTTAGCCATTCTGGTTTTTTTTTTTTTACACGTAAATCTAATTCTGACCAGTTCTTTTTTTTTTATTCGGTCGAGATCGAAATTTAACCGCACCGTCCTTTGAAATTTGCAGGTTCGGAGGTATTAATTCCGTGACGTCGAAACGATATCGGACCGCGGATCAAAATGGTGACCCCATTTTTTCCGTGTAAAACATCTAACGATTTATCGTTCCCAGATAGGATACGCGACCACGTAGTGACGTGTTTTATTGTTTCAACGTTGTTACCGTTTTTGTTGCAATTCGATGGAACGCATTCTTCCGCGTGACGAATGTCGAAAAGAAACTTTCATCTGATCGGAGACATAACAGAATTACATGATAAAAACAAAAGCTCCCTTAGAAATTATAAGAAATCTCGAGAGAGAGACATAATTCAAGGGAAAGAATATTATATTATACATACGCGTATATAATGAGAATTATATGGCAATTAATTGGTTAAAGTAATCCAAAAAACGGGTCGCTCACGTATTCGTGAAAGCTCGGCCGTCGGGACCGCTTTTACGTTCGTTTTGGCACCTCCACGGGAACAGAATGGCTCGATGGATTTACACAATTTGTCCCCGTAGCTGCCATTACTTTTGGACAGGAGACACGGTGTTGGATAATGCGAACTGTCTGCTATTTTACGATTCCCGAAGCACGTAGAAGCACATTTTTCCAGGTCTTCCGCATCTACGCCGTGCGTTTTCAGTATTACGGTTATTACTCTTAATATTAAATCTTTTTTAAGTTTTTGTTGTCATCGCGTTCAGGAGTTTAATTTTTTGCGTAATATTAGAGAATTCTGCCTCTGTCGTTAGTGTAATAATGCAATGTATCAAGCTCAGTGAAATGAATGCATTGTTTATTGATGTCAGGGTTTCGTATTTTGAAAAGAAAATTAATTAATCTCCCCTTCTAGAATTTTATTTCTTTTATTACATATAAACTGAGAAATTAATTTATGACGCACTACAATGTAAAATATTAAAC